AATGTATTACAAAATTATTTTCCTTGTCCCCATTACAATACTTGACTTGTTTTCCCCTGCAATAGTGTAAACACCAAGCACATTGGAGATTTATGACTGTTCTTGTTCACTACTGCATTCACTTAGCAAGCACCTTGTATACACTAGGCACTCAATAAATATTTGAATGAATGGGAATAATGGCTCCCTTGGTTCCTCTTACCTAAGACAGTCATCACCGTCTTCATTAGCTTCATGGGTGTCCTTCGGCGGGTGATGGACCCACTTGTATGTGGAGACAAAACGTTGGTTTTCCTCTTGACATACATGTAGATTCTCAGGTACACCACAACCATGATGAAGAAGGCCACAAGGTTGGACACAGTCCAGAAAATGAGGTAACTCCTGCTGTAAATGGGGGCCAGGGAAGAGCAGGCAGAGATGTCACAGAGGCAATTCCAGCCCAGTGTGGGGACCGCCCCCATAAAGATGGCAATGGCCCAGACAAACAAAATGAGCAGCGTCACCCTCTTTTTCGTCAGGTTGCTGTGGATCCGCATCCTCATGATTGACATGTGCCTCTCCACAGCAATAACCAACAAATTGGTCAGAGAGGCGGTCAAGCTAGTGTCCAGGAGCCCCTGGCGGAGAAACCAGCGGTTGACGGTCAAAGTTTTTGAAACGGGGCCAGTGTTAAACATCAGGAATACATAGGCAATTCCAGCAAAGAAATCTGCAGCAGCTAGGTTAGCCAACAGGTAGTAGAAGGGGAAATGAAACTTTCTGTTTTTGATCACTGCTGCGATGACTAGAGAATTAGAAAAAAAAATAAACAGGCAGAAAAATGTTCCAACACACAAAACAATCACAAGCTTCGTTCCTGTCCACTCATCGGCAGTGTCTGTGTTGCTCCTATTATAAAAAAAGTCCATCCGCTTATCATAGTAACACTCATTCATTGTGGAGAAGAACCGAACATCCTAGAAAGAAATTTAAAGAAGAAACAAACATCACTCTTTGCAAATTCAATCGCTAAACCACCAATTGCCACTGCTAAGCCCCGTGTTCTAGCCAACTTCTGTTAATCCTTCAGATCCCGGTGTAAATATCCCTTGCTCCAGGACTCTGGCCCCTGACCTCCTATCACAACATTTATCTTGCATTAGTAATTGTTGTCTGTTTCCCAGGCTACGTCCCAAGCTCAGTGAGGGATGGTCTACGGCTGTTTTGTTCACCATTAAAATCTCAAGACCCACCTGTCCTGGCTCCCTCATGACCGGTATTTCCTGAATGGCTGGCTGGTTGAATGAATGATCACGGATCAGCAACAGATCAGATATTCTGAGCCCTGCAATATCCACTCTGCACCAGTAACAACGACAACACAGCACGTAAATCCTTTCTCCTGGTGGTTTCCAGTTCATTCCTTACTCATGGATTCTGTTCACTAGGCAAGGGCAAGTTGGTAAGGCCAGGCACATTCTCACCAAGATAATGAGTACTGAGATACCCTTCACACGACCAAATGGACTCCCCAAGAGATCGGTCTTGTACCACTTCTGATTCTACTCCTGATCCTCCTTTTGCCATCTTTTTGTCTCAAGCTGTAATAACAACACTCACTTATTAAGCATGTGATGCAGGGCTGAAGATTTTGTTCTTAGTACTCCTCCTTACTTTTTTTGTTCACTTCTTCCTTATTGTCCTAATTCAAATTATACCAGTGGGGATCTGCTTACTGGATTTTCAGACTCAATCAGTTTAAATCATTTTCCTTCCCTGGGCTTTCAACGCAGCAGGTGGGGTGAGCTCTGGAGGTTAGGCAGACTTCCAAGGATGTAAGAACATACCTGCCAAGTGAGGGTGAGTCCTCAGGACATATGTCTGAAAGTAGGCCCCAAACTGGGGCATCAGGCAGGCAGAGAAGACGCTGATCTCAGGACAAGATCTCTTGGACACCAAAACTAAGGGATTCTGGCCAAGGAGGGGTTGAGAGGAGCCTAAGGATCCCTATCCATCTATGCTTGGTGGAGAGAGAACAGGTGTTCTGCCTCACAGTGGTCTGGCCACAGCCATGAAGGGTCCCATCAAAGGAAGCTGGAGTTGAAAGCCAGGAAACCGAGAGCTACGATGACTATGGGCTCCCTTTCAAGGACTGAGGCTGCAATTTATTAGCTGGAAAACCAGAGATCCAGTAGGTCCAGGCACTAGCAGTCCACTGGTGTGAATGATGTGGCTCTAACAGTACGAGCTTGACAGAAATCCCTAGCTTTTAAGATTCTTATAAATGCTGTAATCCAATACCATATCCAGAATCAGGATAAGCAGAGCAGATATCAATTTGAAATGGCACAAAATAGAAATATATCTTAGACCGTCTTTTTTTGTTTTTAGTTTTTATTTATTTATTTATTTTGAAGGGGGGAAGGGCGGTGGGGTGGGGGTTAGAGAATTCCATGCTCAGCGCAGAGCCTGACACAGGGCTCAATGTTACAACTGTGAGAACATGACCTGAGCAGAAATCAAGAGTCAGACACTTAACCAACTGAGACACTCAGGCACCCCCCTGGGTTTCCTTTTTAATTTATATTTTAATGGTGTAATGATACTTTAACATGAGTTAGGTACCTACTTCTCTGTCATAGTAAATACGAAGTAAAATATCATTTTATATGCTTAAAATAAACAAACTGGCAATGGTCTCAAGAGGCAAATGGTTCTAGTGTCTTTCAATTACAAGGAAAGGGGACTCAATTTTAATCACAAAAGAAAAACTACTCTCTTTGGCAGACATTCACCAACGTTTAACTGCCAACAGCAGACAACTCCATCAACAGGCCAACATACCTATGCTGTATCATGGTAATTTTCCCCAATTAAAAATATATAATTTTAATAGCTTCATAAGGTTCCAGTATATGAACATGACACACTTTATTTAACTAATCCCTACATGTTGGACATTTCAGTTGTCTGTAATATTTAGCCTCTATAAGCAAGGCTGCACTTTTGTACATTAATCTGTACATACTTGGCCAACTATTTGCTTAGGATTTCTTTCTTTAAAGAAAAGGACCAAACCCTTGTTTATTTATTTTATAAAGGCAACCCCACAGTCGGGGTTGAAGGTCCCCTCTGGATGGAAGCAGCCCAACTGACCCACCACCAACAGGCAGTTTGCCCAAGAGGATTGCTTAGGATTCATCCACAGATTTCAACTTCATGAAGTAAAGGGTATAAGTTTATTTAAAGGTTTCTGATAAATATTGTCAAACTCATCGTATTTCTAATCCCACCAGTTGCATATGAGAGTTGAAGACACTAATCTAGTGTAATTCAATTCAAATATTCAAGGAGAAAATTCAGCTTTCAACAGTATTAAAAGTATATGGAAATTCAAGACAAACCATTCAAGAACATGAAGAATCTTAATGGTGCAATTATTATGTGTTCTTTCACTAATAAAAAATAACTTATGTACTTTATTTTGCTATATACTCTAGATAGCTAAGAGAAACATTTATTTTTTATATATATATATAATTTTTTAAATGTTTCTTTATTTTTGAGAGAGAGAGAGAGAGAGAGAGAGAGAGAGACGGAGCATGAGTGGAGGAGTGGCAGAGGGTGAGGGAGACAGAATCCGAAGCAGGTTCCAGGCTCTGAGCTGTTAGCACAGAGCCTGATGTGGAACTCGAACTCAGGAACCACAAGATCATGACCTGAGCCCAAGTCAGATGCTTAACCAACTGAGCCATCCAGGTGCCCCAAGAGAAACACACTTCTAATTTAAAAGTTATGTTATCCTTGACTAACTCATCAGCAATATCAATTAATAGGTCAGAAAGACACTGGGATAAAGATACCACCAAGAACACTTTAAATTTCCTGAATTTCCTCTTGAAGGGGTCTTAACATTTTAGTTTTGGTTCATAAATATGGTGGAATTTGTAATTATATGATACCCTAAAACCTCAATGATTTTTACTTGAAAAATCTTCAAATTCAACTTTCCTTCCATCAAACCCCAAATGGCACATTCTTAGAACATATTTCAACAAAAATCGTCCTGAGACTGAGAAGTAGTTTTGTCTTACCACGTTGAGGGAGAAACCACAGAAAAAAACATGGTTAACCAGAACTCTCACCAAACAGCTCCCTACCTCCCAGCCTCAAACCCTACTTTTGGGAGAAACCAACAATGAGAGCAAATAAAGTTCACACAGGGAAACTATGAAAAAGATTCCCTAGGATGGAATATTGTACAGCCACTGAAAATTGTATTTACCATGAAGCTGTATTTACCATGAGAAAAAGCACACACATGCCATCATCTTAAATTTAAATAATTATATAAGTATGTATGCATACGCATACATATATATTCATATATATGCACACACATACATTTCTTTTTTTTTCTTTTTCTGGAAATAAAAAGATTTATTCATTTTAAAAGCCCACTACAGAAAAATGTACACATCTACATTTCTCAAACTTTACACACATATATTTCTTGAGTTATCCTTTAAAGATACAGAAAAATAGAAGGAAAAAAATCTCAAAGTGCAAACAGTTCATTAAGGATGGTAGAATCGGGGATCATTTAAAAAATTTCTTTCCTGGGGTTCCTGGGTGGCTCAGTTGGTTAAGTGTCCGACTTTGACTCAGGTCATGATCTCACCGTTAGTGAGTTCGAGCCCCACATGGGGCTCTCTGCTGTCAGTGCAGCGCCCGCTTCAGATCCTCTGTCCTCCTCTCTTTCTGTCTCCCCTGCCAGCACTCTCTCTCAAAAATAAACACTTAGAAAAAATTCTTCCCAGTTTTTTCTCTGGTCTACCTTTTCTGTAATAAATAAGTAAAGAGACTTTTAAATGCTAGTTTAATTCTGCCTTGGGACCATACATTCCACTTAATGTATCCTACCTTTCTTTGACAAATATGGCTGTGAAAAATCAAAATTCACATTCAAAGGAAAAGCCTCAAGGATTCGCTATGTTCATTATTGCTACTCTCACCAGCACAGCACACTTGAGAGTTTTTCAGTGATAATGAAAATAAAATGGTTTCCTGCCTCAAATGTCCTATAACCATAAAACCTCAGACATTGACAACTAATCAAATCAGGACATCCCTTTCCCCAGCTCTCCTGTAAAACGTTTCCTAATGCAATCACCCCAGAGCTTCAAAAATGAATAACTAGAAGGGGTGCCTGGGTGGCTCAATTGGTTAAGCATCTGATTTCGGCTCAGGTCATGATCTCGTGATTTGTGAGTTCAAGCCCCGCATCCAGCTCTGTGCTGACAGCTCAGAGCCTGGGGCTTGCTTCGGATTCTGTGTCTCCCTCTTTCTCTGCCCCTCCCCTGATCATGCTCTGTCACTTTCTGTCTCAAAAATAAATAAAACATATAAAAAAATTTTTTTAATTGAATAACTGGAAGTTTTGTGAATTAGTGCTTTTGATTTTTTTTCCTCCCCCCGTCATATGCTGCAAGCTTATTGATGGTCCCTAGTACATACTAATGACAGATCATCATATTTTCTTAGTTGGAAATTACCAAAAAATTTAATGAGCTCATAACAAATGATCAATTTATTCTCTCTTGAACTCTCTCAAACGCTTAAAATAGGATTCTGTGATCCGGGCCTAAACATCTCCTCCGCAGAGACACCTTCTCCGAAAACTCCAAAGTAACCACAGAGCCCTGTTTTATCTTCACCACGGCATCTATCATTTGTTACATATTTTCTTCCGTGTCCATGCATCATTTATGGTCCACTTCCCACCACTGGACTGTTCTGCTCCAGGAGAACAGGGATCTTGCCAATTCCGACCACATCTGTGGCATCAGCATTTGTGGGAGGAACGAATAAATCTCGGTCCTACACTCTCTCTTCTCCCACTAACACGAAAGCGTCAAACACCATTGCTGACCTCCGTATCATGCACTAAATATGT